AGTTGCCATGTTTTAATAACTGTTGGGGGCAAGATGGAAGGATGGAGAAGTTTTCCAAACTTCTAAACAAGAGGGGAGAATCGATAAAATGTTAGCCTCAGTACTTGTTCCAGCTTCAGCCAATATTAAAATGGTCTGAAGAGGATCATATAGATCCAAGCAGCTTTCACATAAATCTGGGTCAATGTCAAGGGTTTAAGAGTTACCTAGGTCAGTCCCTGGCTGGTGTGGCTCAGTGGATTGAATGCCATCCTGCAAACCAAAGGGTCGCCAGTTCAATTCCCAGTTAGGGCACATGCCTGGGTTGTAGGCCAGGTCCCCAGTGGCGGGTATGGGAGAGGCAACCACACATTGATGTTTCTCTACCTCTCTTTCTCTCTCCCTTCCCCTCTCCAAAAGTAAATAAATAGTCTTTAAAAAAATTTTTTTAAAACGTTGCCTAGGTCATAAACACAGACTTCTTAGGCATATCCACATCAGAGCTGACATGCAAGCATTTCATGACAGAATTGCTTAATAGCATTTTTGCTAACAGAAGGCTGTGGTGGGAAGCAGGCTTATATTCTCTTCCTTCTTTTTTTAAAGATTTTATTTATTTATTTTTTAGAGAGGAACTTCAGTGTGTGATTGCCTCTCATGTGTACCCTACCAGGGAGCTGGCCTGCAACCCAGGCATGTGCTCTAGACTGGGATTCAAACCAGTGACCCTTTGATTCACAGGCCAGCACTCAGCGACTGAGCCACACCAGCCAGGATATATCCTCTTCCTTTTAACCTCCCCTTCTGATTTTCTTCCCCAGCTAAAACATCCCCCCTTTTTTTCTCTCCATATGTACATTCAGAGAGTAAGCAGTGGTGTTGCCTCCTGCCCCTAGTCTCATGATTTCAAGCCCACCCACTGATACTCATCCAAAGAAAAATAATTTTAAATAAAATTTGCATAAGGCATAGCTATTTTTATTGCTCTGTAGCCACAGTCTAAGGTCTAAGCAAAGACCTTGTGGTTACTGGGTGCCCCTAGCTTCAAATCAAAGTATTCCTTTCCATCAGATGGCTGCTGGAGAAATTAAGAAAGAAGGGTTCTGGAATGAAGGAGTGAGTGGGTGAGGAAATCATGAAAGAAGGAGGATTAGGTAAGGTTTCCTTGCCATCTTCCCTCAAACTTTATTCCAGGTGACAAGGAGGAAGACAACCACTTCAAATTCTTGCTCTGTGCCCACACCCACACATACAACTCATGTCTCACTCAGAGCTGATATTGAAGATGTTCAAGGAACTTCAGTGACCTTTTTGGAGGTGGGAGCCTTGCTGATTGCTTCATCCATTTCATTGGAAAACAGACCTGTTGGTCCTGGAGCTTCTAAGCATAGAAGCCTTTTATTTGTCAGTAGACATTTCAGTATTAGCAAGAGAGGTTAGAAGATTTTAGACACTGTGCCCACTTGGGGATTCATATTAAGCCCTGATTCTTTTAAATAAAATAAACTAATAGTGCTTACAATAAGCTTCATTGTAACCATTTTAATGTATTTTTAATATGATCTTTTGTTGTACATTGAAGCTCAGTGCCCACATCAGCACTTATTTCCTGCTGAAAGAGTTCTGAACAAAACTCCTCTTTCACATTTTAACAGAGCACTCTGTGCTCCGGTTATCCCCCACTGATCAGGCATATTAATGCCACACAAATGTCGTGCTTCAGATTGCCAGAGGGCTCTGGATCACAGCTTGTGCAGATGATGAAGCATCCATGTAATGAATTCATTTCTCCTGGAACATCTCCTCTTGCTTGAAGGCCATGTGGGTTCTTTAGCATTTGCTTGAGTAATAGATTGTTTTTATTTTTTCATTGCTCATAAAAAGAGATAAGTATACAGCGTTAAATAAAAAAAACCTCATGGCTGAAAGCTTTCCTTGAAAGAATGAGATTATGAAGCCAAATGCTAGCCAGAAAAGGACCAGGTCTTGAGACATGCAGTTGGAACCACCAACAGCAGAGGACTAGAGGGAACAGACAAACTTGCTTGCTGTTCTGGAGTTGATGGGCTCTTTTATACATGAAATTTGGGGAAGGAAGGTGTAAGTTGTTCTGAAAGAATTTACATTGGCTGCATTTAGTTTTCAGGCACTAAGTTTGTGATGGCTTGTTACAGCAGCAATAGGAAAATAACATAAGTGGGATAAAAGTAATGAATAACCATGCTTTGGTGAGTAAGAGCCTGCCTAGTGGGGAACATGCTATGCTGCTAATTTTAAAGATGGAGAAAGGGGTAACGAAGATTATGACTGAGAATTTAAACTAACCTGGGTCTATGGGAGGAGCTAGGGCCTATGGGAGGAGCTCTTATACTCTGTATCATCCTACAGGAAGAGCTCTGTGCTTACAATAAAGCTCTACAGTTCTGTCCCTCCACTTAACTTTCTTTTCATTTCTATATATATTTCTCCATTTTGGTACACCTTGCAGTGTGTGCACGACGTGGCTTGCCATGTCTCTAAGCACTGGGTTGCAACTTTTTTCCCCCCAAATAAATCCTTTTGGCAATGAAATACTTAGTCAGTGTTGTTTTTCAGTTGACTGGAGCTTTTATACAATGCAGGAAGCCTCTAGACACTGAAAAGGCAAGGAAAAGTGTTCTCCTCCAGGGCCTCTGGAGGGAATGCAGCCCTGTGGATCCATTTTAGAATTCCAACTTCCAAAACTCTAAGACAATAAGTTCATGTGGTTTTGAGTCACTAATTTGTGGTAACCTGTTATAGCAACAATAGGAAAATAATATATGGAGAATATAAATAATAAACAAGGATGCTTTGGTGAGCTAGGAGCCTGACTAGCTGGGAAAATTCTGACGAAAGATTTGCTTGGGACTAGTATTGGCAAGGACAAGGAAAGGGGAGGTTTAGAAACAGATAGAAAGGATCAAAGAGCACAGAAATGGACAGATTCACAAGATTTGAAGAGAGTGGGTATACTAGTCAGCTAGGGCTGCCAGAACAAGATACTACAGTCTATGTAGGTTAAAAAAACACAAGTTATTTTCTCACCGTTCCAGAGGCTAGAAGTCCAAGGTCTAGCTGTTGGCTGGGTTGGCTTCTTCTGAGGCCTTTCTCCCTGGCTTGCAGATGTTCTCCTTCCCACTATGTCCTCACATGACCTTTCCTCCATGCACGCTCTGCCCAGGTGTCTTTGTGTGTCCAAAGTTCCTCTTAGAAGGAGACCAGTCAGAGTGGATTAGGACCTATCCTAAGGGCCTCATTTTTAACTCAATCATCTCTTCAAAGGCCTTGTCTCCAAATAGTCACCTGGGAGTTAAGGCTTCAACATATGGATTTTTTAGGGAACACAATTCAGCCCATAACAGTGGGGTTGAGAAGTGGAGGAACAGTCTACAAAATAACTGGTTAGAGCCCACATTGGAGAACAAGGCCATGCATGACAATTCAATGCAATGAAAAGTGATTTGGGTTTGGATGCCAGGTTGGAAAAAGGACTTTAGTGGAACAATTGGCAATAATTTGAATAGGGTATGTATGTAGGTTACCTAATAGTATTCCATTGTTCTTATTTCCTTCTTTGATAATTGTGCTATGGTTATGTAAGATGTTAATACTTCGGGAGGCTTGGACGAAGAGCATATAGGAATTCTGTTCAGCGAGGGCTCAGAAGGAATCACCCCAAGACGTGCCTCTATGGTATGGGGATTATTCTGAGCTAAAGGAAACTTTTGCTTTTCCCTTGACTGTCTAGAAGAACTTGAACTAGTGACCTTGTCCATAATAAAAGATTATCAGAGATAACCTTTTCTGACTTACCTGTATGGCAGGGTAAGTTGCTAATTACTGAACATGTACTCTCTCTGCAATGACCTTCTGAAGCCACAAGGTGTGTTGCCTCATCCTTAGCTCAGGATGTCTCAAGTACCTCAATCCCCCTTTCTATATCTGAACCCCTCCTCCATGTGGGGGCCTCTGACTCTCTCATGCATATGGGGTTCCCACACATATGTATGTATTAAATTTGGTTATTTTCTCTTGCCAGTCTCTCATGCCTATCTGACTATTAGGCTAGCCAAAAGATCCGTGGGGATAGTGGAATGTGTGGTCTCCAGCCCCCACCCCTCACCCCCCACTTGGGTGAAGATGGTATGGGAACTCTGTACTGTTTTGCAGTTTTATTCCTGTCTGGAATTATTTACTTGAAAATTGAAAGTTAAAAATTAAAAAAGTAAAATAGGGTAAACAAAGGGGAGAGACAGAGAGAATGAGAATGGGGTTGGAGGTTATGGTGAAGGAAGAAAAAAAGGCTGGAGAGAAGCAAGGAGAAACCTGAGTTCCATGAGGTTAGAGATTATACCTGCTGTTTGAGTCTCCCGTGCACCCCCCGCCCCCGGCCCAACCCCTGCTTTTGGGACAGTGCCTGGAGCCTCAGCATGTATACTGGGAGGCAGTATTCAAGGAGTTATATTCATGAAAGGCCTCAAATTTAAAATTTTCAATTTTTCTCAAAAGTTAATGCATTGTGTGTTGAAACTGTGAATTCCTTTCATATAAACATTTAAAACACAGTGACAACTTGGTAACTGAGTTTTCATACCCACTCTTTCCATTCTCCACCCCCACGCCCCCCATCCCACTCCCACCTCCAAACCTTTTTTGGGAGACATATAACTCATATACCATAAGATTCACCATTTTAAAGTGTATTTAATGCTTTTCTGTCCAACCATTACCATTATCTAATTATAGAACATTTTCATCACCCCCCCAAAAGAACTCCATACCAATTAGCAGTCACCTAGCACTCCCCAACCCCCACCCCAGCCCCCAGCTCCTGACAACCACTACACTCCTTTCTGCCTCCAAGGTCTTTTCTATTATGGACATTTCTTGTAAATGGATCAAGAATGCCAGATACCAGCCTCATTTCAAAAGCTCAGCCGGCGCAATGGCTAGTGGTCACAGGATTGGCCGGCACGGATGGGGTGTGCGTGGGCCGCCCAATCGCTCCTGTGCTTCTGGAGGAGGCAGGTGCAGGTGGCGGAAGGAGGCGTCGGGAGTGCAAGGACGGCGGCGGTCGCAGGCTGTACCCCACGTCGCGGCATGGCGGGCTGGTGGTGGGCACTGCCGCGCGCAGCCGGGCGCCACCCGTGGCTCTCGAACGTGCTGCTTTATGGCGCGCTCTGCTCGGCCGGCGACGCACTGCAGCAGCGGCTGAGCGGTGGCCCCCCCGACTGGCGGCGGACGCGGTGCGTGGCCACCGTGGCCGTGGTTTTCCACGCCAACTACAACTACGTGTGGCAGCGCCTGCTGGAGCGCGCGGTGCCGGGCCGCACGCCGCGCGCCATCCTGACCAAGGTCCTTTGGGACCAAGCAGTGGGCGCACCAGTGGCCATTTCGGCTTTCTACACCGGTGAGATGCCTGGGCGGGGTTCAGGGGACCTGAGCTGCAGGCCAGGCTCAGGATTTGGGGAATTGAGGCAGGGGCTGGGACCCGGGATGTAAGCCCTGGTTAGACTGATGGGGGCGGGGGTGGGGGGTTGGTGTTCAGAGTCCGGGAGGGGGCTGTCGGTGAAGGTGCAAGGGCCTAGGAGTCTGGGGACGCGGGATTAAGAGAGTTGAGAAGAAGTTGGGAGATGGCTGGAGAGGCCAGGGATTAGGAGACCAACGTCCAGTGGGTCAGGGATCAAGGGGGCCAGAAGCACAGCCGGCGGTCTAGGGTTGTGCAGTAGTCCAAGGCTGGAGACCACAGGGGGTGAGGGGCTAGGTTGGGATGGGAGGAGGCGGGTTCGGGGTCCATTTCCCCCTGAAAAAGGTCCACGAGAGTGTTGAGGAGACCCTCTTACTGTCATAGCAGCTGCAACCACTCTGACCTAGTTGTTGGTGCTGCTCTTGGAGCCTCCATGGGGCCTCCTGATCACTGGTGGACAAAACCTGAGGGGGCTTGGCACGATGGGACCATTGTGGATGGAGCCTGAGATCCTGCCACGTTCCCCAGAAAATTCAGCTCAGGGCCTTCTCCCTGCTTTTCTAAGATTTTCCTGCTGGGCAGTGGGCCCATCCCCACATCAAAAGCCACTGAAATGCAAGGGGACCCCAGCCATAGAGGACTCTATATCTGTGAGTGTCCTGGGAGCCCCTTCCTGGGAAAACTCACGGTCTGAGAGTCTCACCCGGGGAATCTTGCTCAGTGCCCTAAACACTGAAAATAGTGGTAAGAGCTCTGTGGCTTCTGTCGTCTTCAATTTCCATAGCCGGGAAGGGAATGGGCTAGGGAGGGAGACCCATACCCTAAGAAAATCAGAGTCCTGGGTTTGGCCTTCGCATTGGGGATCACAGGTCACCCTAAGAGGGTCTTCTTGTCAGTGGCTATAGGTGCCTTCTAAACTGGGTTTGGTTGGTCAAGTCACCTCCTTGTAGAAGCCTGTATAGCCCCATAGATCTTCCTGGGGGCAGGGGCAGATTCTGTCCCTTTCCTCACAAACCCCACAGAAAACTAGAAAGACAGGACTGCCTGATGTAACCTCAGCCAACCACATGGCCCACAGGGTCACTGAGGTCAGGGGAATGAAGGACCTGAGAGCAGGGATCTCGTGGTTTGTCAGATACGTGTCTCTTCCCAGGGTGTGACTTCCTTGCCAGATTTGCAGATTGATTCTTTTGGCCTGTTACCGGTAGCCTTGCACACGGGTGAAGGGGTTGGGAGCCAGGCGCTGGGAGTTTGGGAATCAGATTCCCATTTAATCCTCAAACAACCCAGTGAGGCAGGTACTCTTATTATTCTCATGTTACAGATGAGGAGACAGAGGCTCAAAGGGGTTTAAGTGACTTCCCTCAAGACAACACCATTCATGTCATGTTCTCGGTCTCAATGAATGTTGTCAGTCTGCCTGAAACCAAGAGATGCTTCAGTAATACAGCTTGGGGAGGCCTATGGTTCAGGCCCAAGGCTCCTGAAATAGAGTCCTGCCTACTTGCTTCTTTGTTTTGCTTTTCAGATTTCTGGTCCAGTTTCCCTGTTCTCCTTTTAAAATGAAGGGGGAAGGTGGGACCTAGTAGAAGCACTTCCGACTTGGAAACTGCTGTATCTAATGGTCCCTTGTGTGTTGGGGAGCTTGAGTAGTGATTAAGAGGTCTGGCTTGGAATCCACACCTGGGTTGGTGTCAGACCATTGTTAACCTCCCAGAGCTCTTTTCCTTCTCAGAAACCCTGCCACCCTCAAGGTGATGGTTAGGAAGGTAAAAAAAAAATAATGTGCATGAAGTGCTTAGCACTTAAGTAGTGCTGGGTAAGTGGAACGAGGTATTACCTGTATTCTTGCTGGGTCTTCTGAGAGTCCTATCGTAAGAATCCCCTGCAAAGACTAAAAAGATTTTATTTCCCTTCCCCCTAGTAGGACTTGGGGGAAATTTTTTAAAATCCTCACTCAAGAATATGTTTATTGATTTGAGAGTGAGAGAAAGAGAGAAGAGAGAGAAACATAGGTGTGAGAGAGAAATATCGATTGGTTGCTTCCTGTATGTGTCCCAACTGAGGATCAAACGCATCACCTTGTATGTGCCCTGACTAGAATTGCACCTGCAGCCTTTTGGTGTCTGGAATGATGCTCCAACCAACTGAGCCACCCGGCCAGATGCTTTAATTTTTAAAGCACTCATTTTTGCACCCTTCCTAAAACAGGAGGGTTTTGTCCTTGCTCCCTGAATTTCTTTTCAGGGTTGTTGAACATAAAAGTTTCCAATATTTTTTTAGGAAGGCTAAATTGGTGTTCTGCTTTCCAATTATTGCTAAAAAACCTCTTGTTGGAGTACCCAGGGTCCATCAGCCTTTTTTTTAAATGAAAAGGTAATTAAGTTTTAAAAATTTTAAGCATTTCACAGAAAGTTTGAAATGGAGAGAAGGAACGTCACCAATAGTATCACTACCCTAACATTGCTGTTTTTGTAAATTAGTTTTAAAAAAATCAGTCCCCTATAATTATTTCCTTTATTCTCAACTGAGGACATTCTTTTCATTGCTTTTAGATAGAGAAAGGGAGATAGAAAGGCAGAGAGAAACATTGATGTGAGAGAGAAGCATCAGTTGGTTGCCTCCAGTATGCTCCCAGATCAGGGATGGAACCTGCAACCTAGGTATGTGCCCTGACCAGGAACTGAACCTGCAACCTTTTGGTTATAGGATGACTCTCCAAACAACTGAGCCACACTGGCCAGGGTAACCCCTGTAACTTTTATATGCTTCTATTCTCACTTAATGTTTATCATTCCTTTAAAAATTTTTCTAGTTTTAGCCCTGGGTGGCTCGGCTGGTTGGAGTGTCATCCCATAACCAAAAGGTTCCAAGTTTGATTCCTGATCAGAGAACATGTGTGTGGTTTGATCCCTGGTTGGGTTGTGTATGGCAGGCAACTGAATGATCTCTCTCTCTCTCTCTCTCTCTCTCTCTCTCTCTCTCTCTCTCTTTCTCTCTCTCTCCCTCTTTCTCTTTCCCCCATTCTCTCTCTCTAAAAGCAATAAGACATATCCTTAGGTAAGGATAAAAAATTATCTAGAAAGGATGTTATATTCTGTTTTCTGTGTTGACTCAGAAGAGACATATATTGAGTGAGGGATAGTGGTGGTTACTTCACACATTGAAATAGGAAACTTGGTGGGTTGGGATGGGAGGTTGAAAGGCAGAAAACTGTACTCGAACAACAATTAAAATAAAAAAAAAAGAAGTAGGAAACTTGAACTGTTACACAGTATTCTTCCTACTGAATCTTTTAAAATTCTTCTGTTGTGTGTTTTTGCAAATAGGTATGAGTATCCTCCAGGGAAAGGATGACATATTTTTGGACCTGAAACAGAAATTCTGGAATACATATAAGGTAAGACAGACTTTTGAAAATGCAACCGAGATGTTTTTGTACATTTTACACATTATGTACATTTTAACAAAGATACTCTTAAACTAGGGCTACCGTTGGTTGATGCAAAGATATAATATTTTGACAGAGAAACCTTACATTTTGATAGCTAACTAAAAAGAAACTTGAAGAGTGTCTATATGTAAGTGTCTCTGAATTGTAGTCAGTGTTCCCAATGATTTCTGATATCCTTATATTTGCTGTTGTTAGTGATTATGATTTAGTGAATTTCAGAACCAAAGAGGTTATTGCAAGAAGGATAGAATGCGAATGAATCCCAGATTCAGAGTCAAGGTTTCCAGGTTGCATTCTGTTGAGTCCCTGTGCAAGGAACCTTCTTAACCTTATAAAGGTGTTTACAGAGAAAGATGGTATTTTCTACGGTTATGTCTAGGCTTGAGGCAAGTCACTTCTTGTACTGTTTGCTCAGTACAAATATACACAGTCCAGCCTGACAAATGTGTATTAATTAATTCAATGAAGGGTTGTTGAGCAGGGTTCTTAAGGCTTGGCAAAACGGATGCTTTCCACCTCTGGCCTAGGGTATGCTTGGTTCTATTAAATTACAATGAGGTCAATTTTCAGGATTATGGAATATGTACAAACTGGTCTAGGACTTCATACCTACTTAACTCGTTATAAAGAGCAGTGCCAAGCTACACCTAGCAATTGCCTGCGCTGCTTCTAGCATCTTCTAGTGAATGATACCAAGCCCCAGAACCAGCATCATCCACTTGATGTCTGGAAGGCAGATGACAGGGAGGATTGAAGCCACATGCTTTCCCTGAGCTCCTATGCTCAAAGAGTATGCAAAACTCTCGGGCCCATGGTGATACCCAGATGTGATTTTGTTCTGCTTTATTTTGGGAAAAGGAACAAGTTTTCCCATGATGTCATAGATCTTATGGAGATATGTACATCAAACATTTATAAAAAGAGCAATCAAACAGAATTGCAAAAGAAAGGGGCTTTATTTAGGCAGGGATTTGCAGGTGTTTCAGATCCTCCTCCCTTGATGAAGACATACAGGTTACCTTTTTTGCATGTCAAATGCCATGCCAAAGATCTTGAACTCTAGTAATAGTAGTGGCAAGAAAAACCAAGGGAGCTATTGTAACCAAGTTCACATAAGAAATAAGGAAGGAGTAGGAGTAGGAATAATATGAGAAATATTTAGAAGGTAAAGTTGGTAGGTCTGGATAGTTAGAAATTGGGATTATGGGCAAGAACACATCTAGGATGACCCACGGGTCTCTGACTTCAGTAACTTGATTGACATAGGATGTAGAGGACAGTTTGAGAAACAAGATAGCTGAGTTCAGTATGGGAAATGTTGAATTCCAGGTGCTTTTGGGGTACTCAAAGGGAGATTTCCAGATGCACAGAGGAGAGATCAGAGCTAGAGGTATTATCTATGGAAGAAATTGAGTTCATACTAGGTTTCGATTGAAGTTTGATCAATAAAACTAAGAGCACAGAAGAAGCAACCTAAAGGAATCTGTCACAAAAGACTCATGGCCCAGGGGACATGTGAGAGTAGGTAGAACTGGCTCTTTGCTGCTAAGGAATTATCCCCCTGTCCAATCCAAGTTCTTCTGGTGAAGGTAAGTAAGACATCCCTAGTTTATTTGTTGTTTACATGTAAATAGTACTTGACCTTCTTGGTTTTTTGTTTTTATTTTTTTTAATTTTGTACAAATAGCAAGCAATTTTTCCTTTTACTAGCTGCAACATGGTGGTTCAGATATATTATCTCTTAGAAATATATATGATGTTACATTATTAGTTTTTAAAAACTTTAATATGGAATGATTTCAAAATTACAGAAAAGTAACAACAGTTCAAAGAATACCCATATGAGTGGCCTAAACAGTGAGCCAGGTCATGTCTGCACATGGGGAGCTCAGTCTCCCTGAAGAGGAAGGAGCTCAGTTCTCTGGTCCTCCTTTGACACCTTGTCCCAGAGGTTCTACCAATGGCACTAACAGAAATGTGGAGCCTACTGTGCTCCTTGTCCAGATCTGAACCCCTTGGGCCTTGGCTGACCTTTTCCTGGCTTCTCTGTGGAATCTGGTGTGAGTCTTTGACTATGTGCCAACACCAACACCATAACAGAGCTAAGGATTTGGAAATGAACTTAAACTCCTGCCTGGCAGAAGTTCACCACCTGGAGGAAGAGACCAGCCTGTAAAAAGAGAACTTGCCCCTCAAATATTTGATGGGGAAGTCAACACCACCTTTGCTTGCTCTGACACTCCATGCAAAACACTCCTTAAAACATTTACATCTGAGAGGCCACCCCAGGGGTCCAGGAACTTGTCCTCTGAGAGGTGGTTCTGTCCACCCATGGGCTCCTGACCCAGCCTCATCTCATGCCTACCTCTCCCCACTCCATGCCTCAACTGCTCTGGAATTCTTTCATTTCCTGGAACATGGCAGCCTCTTTCCAACCCAGCCTGTCCCTAGACTCACACCTCCCCTTCCTTCTTACCTTAGTTTATACATCATTTCCTGAGAAAGCCTTTTTTTAAAAAAAGTAATCCTCGTCCAAGGATATGTCCATTGATTTTAGAGAGAGGGGAAGGGAGAAAGAATGAGAGAGAGACACAGAGAAACATCAATTGGTTGCCTCCCATGCATGCCTCGCACCGGGGATGGAGCCTGCAACCTTTTGGTGTATGAGACAATGCTCCAATCAACTGAGCCACCAGGCCAGGGTCTAAGGAAACCTTCTCTGACTACCTATATCCATTACAAAGTCTCCTAACCCTCAGAATTGCCTTGTTGAGCTTCTCACAGATGTAATAATCACACTTATTTCACATTTATTTGTGTGAAAAAATCCATATACCCCTTATTTAAATACACATAAACATTTTGCCCCATTTATTATTTGCTTGCTCTATCCATCCATCATTCTGTCTGTTTTTCTGAATTGTTTGAGTTAGTTTACATATGGAATTACCACTTACCCCAGATACTCCAGTATCTATTTTCCAAGAATACAGTTGTTCAGCCCTGACTGGTTTGGTTCAGTTGGTTGGGCATCATCCTGCAAAGCAAAGGGTTACTGGCTCGCTTCCTTGTCAGGGCACATGCCTGGGTTATGGGTTTGGTTCCTGAGAAGCAGCCTATAGATGTTTCTCTCCCACATCAATGTTTCTCTTTCTTTCTTTCTTTCTCCCTCCCTCCCCTCTTAAAAAATCTGTTTTTTTTTAAAAGATGTCCTCATAACCACAGCATAGTTACTAACTTCAATAAATTTAACAATGATAATCTTTTATAGCATGTACCATCCATATTCCATTTTTGTCAATTGACTATCTAATGACCTTTGTAGCATTTCTTTCCCTTCCAGTACAGGATCCAGTCTAGGCTCAGGGAGTGCATTAAGTCCTTATGTCTCTTTAGTCCCCATGAATTGGGAACATTTTGTTAGCCCTCCTAAAATCTATTACAACACTGATATTTTTGAAGAATATAGTCCTCTCTTTAAAAAGAAACCAAATGAAGCATTTGCTTTTTGGGGGTGTGTCTGTCGTTTCCTCACAATTAGGTGCAGGTGATAGTGTACATTCCTGACTGGAACATGCCATCTGTGGTGCCGCATCCTCCTCAAGGGTATCACAGCGGAGGGTGCCAATGTCCTTCCGTCCCTGACTGGAGATGTTAATTTTGACCGTCAGGTCAAGGTGTCTGATTTTCCTACTGCCTACTTCCTATTTTTCCTCTTGAAACTAATAAGCAATCTGTAGGGAGGCACTTTAAGACCATTTAAATACATATCCTCTTCCTCATCAGGATACTCACCCTACCCCCATATTTGGCACCCACTGGCAGTTCTGCCTGAACCAGCCTTTCCTGTGGCAACGGTTGCCAAATGGTGTTTCCAACTCCAGCACTGGTCCCACATTTCCCAGGTGGTGCTCAGTGATCTCCTGCAGACAAATGCCCGCTCTTCTATCTCAGCTGTTTATTCACTTATTTCTCTATTTATTAGCAGTATGGACTCAGGGATTCTCTTTTTTTTTAAAGCTTACAATTCATTACTGTAATTATTTTGGGTGCTTAAGTGTCCCAGATTTGGCCAGTGAGAATCCCTTCAAGCTGCCTGCTATGTTCTTCTGACAACCCCATCTAAAAAAATCACCTCCTTACTTTCCTAACAAGATGTCCCAGCTCATCTTTTATCTTTACCCCCTCCCCCCCGCCCCAGCCCTGCAACCAGCCATTTCTCTGAGGAGTCCTTCTGCCTTTTAGTGGGGAATGGGGAGGCCAAGCTCTGTGCACTGGATGATGTTACGTCCTGAAAGAAAACCATTGCTATAAGAAGTAAAGCCAGGTTTGGATGAGTTTACTTTTCTGATCCTTTTTGCTAAAGTAGTAAATTGTTAAATAAGCTTATATTTTAAATAGATGTTTTTAATTTATTGGTTTTAGAGAGAGGGAACCATCAGCTTGTTGTTCCACTTATTTGTGCATTCATTTGTTGATTCTTGTATGTGCTCTGACCAGGGATCAAACCCGTAACTTTGGTGTATTGGGATGATGCTCTAACTAACTGAGCTACCTGGCCAGGGCCTATTTTAAATAACTTTTATTGCAATGGTTTATTGTAGGAACTGTAGGAAATAAAAAGTAGTAAAATAAAAGAGAAAATAACACCACCTTTATACTATTAGTATAATAGTGCTTTTAAAGGCTTTAAAAAAACCCTCTAGCTTTTTTTTAGATATAATTTACATACCAAGACCTATATCTTTGAAAAAAATCCATCATCATGATTTTTTTTGTCAGAATGTACAGGTTAAATCCTGTTAAAATAAGTCTACCTTGAAATATTTTGTAAAAACTAAAAAAAGTCAACTAAACTTTTTCTATAGCATGAATAGTAAAATGTGTTATTAGCAAATCATTCCATAAAGAATGGTTTGGTATAGTTTAAAAAATTTATTGATGATCCTTTTATAAATATATTCTTGTATCATTTGCTTGGGATAACAGGAAAATTGCAATATATAGATATATGTTGTTATTTTGAAGGCAGTTGTCTAACAGAGTTGATACTGATTCTGGTAGACTTTTCATTCTGAATCCGTGACTATAAATAATATAAATGTATTGTACCTAACAACTTTTTCCACAACTTCCCACCCTCTTCTACTTAAGAGAACTTAATTTAATTGGTGTAGTCTGACATATGTTATCACCTCCGAATTCTATCTGCCTGGTGTTTCTTTATCATTCATAGAATGAATTGTGGGATATTATGTGTGTGTATGTGTGTGTGATTAAAAGGCATTCTAATATAGTTTTTTGTTTGTTTGTTTGTTTTTTGTTTTAATTCTAGAGTGGTCTGATGTACTGGCCTTTTGTACAGGTGAGTTTTAAAATAATTTTTTATAAGAGTTTATTTGAGCCAAACTGACAACATATGCCTGGGAGCAAGACCTCAAATGCCCCCCGTACAGGTGAGTTTTAAACCACTCAGAGTGCTAACTCCTGGCTCTGATTTACATGGAGCCCTAACATGCTCTCTCTTTCTGTTACAGCTGACCAACTTTAGCCTTGTTCCTGTGCAGTGGAGAACAGCTTACACTGGACTCTTCGGTTTTCTGTGGGTCTCCTTCCTTTGCTATTCACAGCAGAGTGGCGATGGCACACTGAAGTCAGCTTTCACCTTCCTTCATCCAAAGGAGGCCAACCAAGTTGAAAGGCCCTCAGAGAAATAAGAAATCAAGGACTCCCTGAAAGTGACAATATTTTTCCTGAAATGCAGTAAATTGCCTGCTGATAAAATTCTCTACTTACCTGCAGTTATGTGCTCCATTGAAAGAATTATTATGCCATAGGCCCCCTTGTTTCTTAATGATCAATAAGTACTTTAAATTTTATTTAAAACTTTTTTCCTCATTCTAGCCTGAAATTATTACTTTTCTAATGTTTTCACTTCTTCAGTACTTTGGTAAATACCAATAACAGTGGTTAAATGACATTTTGTAATTATTACTATTTCTAATATTTTAAGGCCATTTAATTATACTCGATGCCTTTAATTATTAATGCCACTTAAGGAACCTGTTTTGATTGTATACATCTATTTTCTAACATCTCAGGTTATCCCTAAATAGTTGGATCTGATTACTTTTTATATCAAAATAGTTCTTAATAGTAAAATTCTATTTACATAGAACTCAATCAAAGACAATATTAAGTAACCAGGTTCCTCCCCACTCCAATACTATATAATTATTTTATGCTGATACTAAAGTTCTGTAAGTATATTTTATATCATAAAAAAGTAGTGTCTGATTGGTATAGAATATATTTGATGTCTTCTATTGTAATTTTTATGTTGAGTGCTTTTTAGCTAATATTTTTTAGTTTTGACCATATTCAGTACCTCATTTCGCAGACATGTAAAATTTTACTTCTTAAAGAAATATATTGAGTGAAGTTTTGGGGGAAAAAAAAAGAAAGAATTTTTCTGCCCCAGCCCAGTGTGGCTCAGTTGGTTAGAGCATTATTCCACAAAACCAAAGGTCATGAGTTTGATTCTTAGCACATACCTAGGTTGAGGGTTTGGTCCCTGGTCAGGGTGTGTTTGAGAGGCAAGCGATCAGTGTATCTCTCACTTTGATGTTTTTTTTCCCTCTCTCACTCTCTCTCTCTCTTCCCTTCTCTCTAAAATCAATAAGCATGTCCTTAGGTGAGGATTAAAAAAATAAGAATTTTTCTTCCTTTGGAAGGAAGAATTCTATTTCATAAGAGATCTGTATGGAAAAAGTCCAGTCATTGTTTATATAATGAGAACAGTTTGTGTGACATTAGTGTAACCTGGCAGCCAAGGAGAGTGGATGGGAATGCACATGCGTGAACAATAACAACTTCACTGTTCTAGTCAGTGGGGGTGGTAGATGCCACTGAGTGAGCATGTGTACTGTGTGGCCATCACATTCAAAATGACTGAACAACTAAAGCAATGAATCTGCATCAAATTTTGCATTGAGTTTGAACATTTCTCTGAGGAAACTATTCAGATGATTCAGAAGGCTGCAGCTATGGGCAACTGGTGATTGGCAACTTCATCATGGCAACATGATCACTCATGTAACACATCTTGTGCAGAGTTTTTTGGCAAAACATCAAATCACCCAGGTGACTCATTCCCCTTAGAGCCCAGATTTGGTGTCCTGGGACTTGGGACTTTTCCTGAAACTAAAATCACCTTTGACAGGAAAGATTTCAGACCATCAGTGAGATTCAGGAAAATACAACAGGGCAGCTGATGGCAATTGGGAGAACTGTGTGAGGTCCCAAGATTTCTACTCTGAAGGGGACTGAGGCATCATTGTCCTATGTACAATATTTCTTGTATTTTGTATCTTCTTCAATAAATGTCTCTATTTTTCATATTACATGGCTGAATGCCTTCTGGACAGGCCTTGTATGTTTCCAGGGAAAATAGTTACCCCAAACTTCATGCTGATGTTATATTTAAAAAAATCAAATATTTAAATTAAATTTTTATAGGTAACCTTTAAGGTAAACAAGAGAAATTTGATTCAGTCTTTCATATTTACTGTTTGTCTTACCTCAAAACAAATGGTTTTAACAATTATATGAGTATCTCAAAACGTTTCAGCAAATTTCATATAAGAACTGAACCACAATTCTGTTGCTTCCACTGGAATATTGCACAAATTTAAAGGTGTGAAGCATTGTGCTGGCTGGGTAGCTCAGTTGGTTAGAGCATCATTCTGATTCATCAAGGTTCAGGTTTGATCCCCAGTCAGGGCACATACAAGAGTCAACCAATGAATGCATAAATAAGTGGAAAAACGAATTGATAGTTTCCTCTCTCTCCCTTCCTTACTCCATCCTTCCTCTTCTTCTTTCTCTTTAAAATAAATTTTTAAAAATGTGAAGCACTGAAATGTTAATAAATTTATCTTGAGAATTTATATTTATATTTATATTTAAGATTAATTTAAGAATGTATATTTAAAAATTTTAAGCATATAACTTGTAATATAAATTTATGTAAGCCATAAGTATATAACTTTATGAATATATGATCAGTTAGAATTTTATTTTACATTATTGGGACAATGGTTAGAAATTTCTAGATAGTTTAATTTTAAATTCTATAACATGGATAGATCTGGAGAATATTATGCTAAGCGAAATTAGTCAGAAAAAGCTGAGAACCATATGATTTCACTCATTTGTGGGACATAAAACTGAAACTCACAGACACAGACAGGAGTATGGTGGTTACCAGGGGGAAGCAGGTGAGGGGTAGTAAAGGGGAAAAGGGGCCAGATACACGGTGATGGAAGATGATTTGTCTTTGTGATGAGGGCACACAGTGCAACACATAGATCTTGTGTCATAGAAATGTACACTTGAAACCTATATGATCTTACTGACCAATGTCACCTAATAACTTTAATTTTAAAAATCTAAATTTGTTATTTGTATTGTCTTAAAAGTAGTTGATATCACAGAAAAGCTATTTCACAATATATAAGACAAATGTTGTCATTAAAAAAATATATATATATATACAGAGTAACTCCAGTAAGTACTATCTGCAATCTCTGAGCTGAGCTTCAGCATTCCTTTTATCTTGGAAGAATAGTGTGTACATTTTGTATGAAAGTAATTGGGAAAACAGACCTTGTTTATACTGTGAAGGGGAAAAAGCTTATTATTCTTTAAAGACTATGATAATCTTTGCTCAATAATGTTTTACCCTGTAGTATAGAACATATTGATATCTACCATGCATTTTCTGAATTTTTGCAGATAACACATGTTCAATTTTTAATGCAAGTGTACGTTTGTGTTTTTGTGTGAGGAATGGAACTTATTCCAAATAATGCAATGTTGGTCTGTTTTAAAATGCTGCCATCCTTGGTAAAACGTACTCTAGACCTTCCAGGACTTAGAGCCAGGTAGGTGGACCCCCATTCTACCTTCAAATTACCCCATTCTGTAAGGTTTCTGTAACTTGGTTGTGTTGCCTTACCATGTTCTTCTGGTCTCATGTTTTCTCAGGCAAAGGAAAAACCTATAATTCGTTTTCCTTAATGGAGTTGAGGTAGACTGGATTTTCAAAGCAACTTAACCTAATATGTGTAGAAAACAAAAGGTAAATTGGGAGGATGTCAAAAGAATTTCTTTAAAAAACCCTTACAGAATATGGATTTCTGATTCTCTCATAGTGAGCTTGAACTCAGGGGTCACAAATCCTGTCCTAGGTCCAGGCATTTGGGGTATTTATCCTGTAGCTCTAGTGTCTCCTCCCTGGCATTCTTTCCTGGTTCCCTGGTTCTCACTGATGATGTCATTGGCCCTGGGAGCTGTCTTCTTGGCCCTGATGCTACCATTAAAATCAAGAGTGCCCGGGTCCTATCCTTTTGGACTGCCAGTTTCCATTTCTATTCTCAGAGGTAGGCCTCCTACACAAATCGTTGAAATGGTTTCTCAGTGCAGGGAATCTAATACACAAATGGATGTGACCACCCTTAATAACAAATGTTATTAAATGGACTGTAAAGGGGATAAACAACATGATAACCATATTAAGAGTTCATAGTCTAGTTGGGAGTATAAGTAAAAACAAAGTGTTAATCTGGTTCTCAGGACATCTAATCCAATTCATCACTCATTGCTTCATCAGCATCTGTAACAAGTGGTCAATAGAAAGCTTGAATTTTACTCAAGTAATGCCACCCAACTGTAGGTTAGTGGCAGAAGCAATAGGTACTTTGAAATCATGGTGCCCTGGGTAATCTGGGAAGGCTTCATAGAGGAGCTGCCCGAACTGAGTCTCAAAGGCTGGAAAGTCCCAAGACTCTGAAGGTCTGTGAACTGGAGTCGTGATGGTAGGATCAGGTGAGATTCGGTCTTGAGAGAGAGCAGTGAGAAAGAAAAGGCATTTAAGTTCTAACACGGGAAATTTCCATTGCCCACTCCTCGACTTTGAATAATGTACATGCTTCTATCCAGTTTACTTGTAATTAAAAATGATTTGCAACTTACCTTTTCATTTGTGGGAAAATTAATAAAAACTAATTCTATTTTATCTATATCATAGTTGGTTTGGTGAGAGAGAATGGGGCAATGTGAGAGTTTGCACGTGTTTAAAATTTTCTAATACCAATTCTGAGAGTGGCATGTGAAAATATTTTCCACAAAATCTGTTCAGAAAGGTAATTCAGTGTACAAAGTAATTAATGATTTGCCCACTATACAGTCTGTGAAATTGGCATTTAGGGCTTCCTACAAATGAAGGGTGCCTTAGGAAAACTTTATCTTATAATGTATTGATTCTCTTCAGGCCACAGTAGGAAGACTAAATGAATGGAAAGGATTACAGCTACTAAAAGATATATCGGTAGTTCACAGAGGAAAACATTTTTACATTCTAGTACTTCATTAATAACTAATTTTGTTTTTTAATACTGTGAAGAAAATTTTTAAAAATTTTCACAATAAAGCCTATAAAGAGATTGAGGACTTCCAGATGAACTATGTTAACCAAATTAAATGTAGATAGTCTCTTTAATTGAGGTAAATTACCCAGAAGTATGGTTTCTAACTCATCCATCGTTGCTGTATACTTTTTTATTTACTGTTTTTCTTTCAAGCATTGTCAACCTTTAGGATTCATTTTAAGCTGTCAAAAATATTTTTTGCTCCATAGGCAATTTAAATGTAGTTCAGTGGAATTTTATGTGAATTTCTAGAGTGTTTGTCAAAACAAATTGTGGCCAGACAGGCTTAACAATATATTCTGGAGGCAGCTTTCCTTTGAAATTAGGTTCATCCTCTGAAAGTATTAGAAAGTTAATGGATTTTTGTGCCTGAAGATTTTAACCTTGCATTGGGTATATTTAATCGAGTTTTGTCCGTAATGTTCGGAATCTGAGGAAACCAAATCACAGAAAATGCAATTAAAAAGCAATTGAAGCCCTGGCTGGGTGGCTTAGTTGGTTGGAGCGTTGTCTCATACACCAAAAGGTTGTGGGTTTGATCCCCGATCAGGGCACACACCTGATTGTGGATTCAATCCCCAGTTGGGGCGTGTACAGGAGGCAACCGATGGATGTCTCATATCAATGTTACTGTCTCTTCCTTCCTCTCTCTAAAATCAGTAAACATATCCTTGGGTGAGGATTAAAAATATAACAATAAAAAGTGATTGAAATTTTTCTTTTAGTACTTTCAGTGGCCAGTAAGTGAAAGGAGAAATCTGCAGTTTAAAGGAAAAGAACAGACACGAATCTGAAAAGTGGCCAACCAAGTGAACAGAAGAGAATAATAACTGAGAGCATTT